TAAATTTCTATGTTATTGAGTTTTGAAACCAAATTTTGATACATGTCCACCGGTTGCATGTTTATCTCTAAAAAATTGGTATGATTTTGGTTGGAAAAATAACCAAATCACGATAAAAAATAAGAGCACGGTTTTAGTTAATTACGTAGTTAGAAAATTATGGACATGTTTAAAATTTTTGGGATAAGAGTTGTGTTTAAATAAATCTCTATCTCTGCATGATAAGAATTTGGATAAGACTAAAATTCAAATTCAATTTCAAACAACTTATCGAAAAATTCAAATGATCCACAGGATATGGTGAAAATTTTAAAAAAATTTTGATATGTTTATTTTTTTTTTAGGTGGGAATTCCTCTTATTTTTTACTTAGAGTTGTTTAGGTTACCTCTTTATATATAATAGATTTGGATAAGACTTCAAATTAATTCCTAAATAATTTAAAAAAAAAAAGAATCTTAAAATAGTATGCAATAAATGCTTTCATAAATTTTTGGATTATTATTTTTAGTAAATAATAATTCTTTATATATATATATATATCCATTCCATTATTATAATTCTTTAAAAGATTTATAATAAATCTAAAAAATTAAATTTACTAATGATTTTTTTCTGTCACTTATTAAAGATGCCTAATTTATAGGAATTCATGTATGGAATGCACTTCTTTCCTAAATAATTTGGATAAGACTTCAAATTAATTTCTAAATAATTTAAAAAAGAATTCCTAAAATAGTATGTAATAAATGATTTCCTAAATTTTTGGATTACTATTTCTAGTAAATAGTAATTCTTTTTATATAAATATAGATATAGAATGATGATTGATTTTTAATTTATTAACTATGTATAAGAATATGAGTGGAACATAATTAAAAAAATAAAATCTTTTTCATAAAATAATTAAAGGCAACAACAAAAGTAAGTGTAACTTTATTGTATGAAATATATATTTTTATGAAAAAAATTAAAGGGTCAAAAGAGACGAGTTGAGTTCGAGCTTATGATACTCGATCTCGAGCCTTAATGAATGGTGTTATAAAAAAAATTATAAGAATCTTAATTATCGATTGTTGACGATATTTATCGAACTTTAAAGACGAATCGAGCTCACAAATGTCTCGTTTTTCAATTACACACTTTAGGAGAACTCAAATAATAAGGTGATATAATTTTGTAAAATGATGTTATTGTTTTTAGTATCTACAAAATGTATTCTATGCAAATCATCTCATATCCTCTAATTTACAAACCACGCAATAAAAGCAATAAAAGCGGGACACTAAGTGGGTGGTTGTTTATGAATTCATTTAGAAAATAATTGGTTTTTTTGTTAACTATAATTAATTTTGAAAAAAAAAATAGTATGGTTAGTTGTTAATGAATATATTAAAATAATATTTAAAATAAAATAATTAAAGTTGATATGATGTAAAAGTAAAAGAAAAATGATTGAAAGTGATGATTAGTGAAAATTATGTGAGTGTATGAATAGTTAATTAAAGTTAATGTGATTTGTAAGAATGATTAGTTGAATGATTGGTTGATATTATTTAATTGTATTGATAATATTGGAGATAGTAAGGTTGGGTTAAAGTTGAGTTAAATTTGAGTTTTGATTGGATTTTTTTAGGGTGAATTGAAGGGGGTGATTGTTTATGGATTCAACTAGTTTTTATTTGATTTATTTTTTTAACTACAATTATTATTTTTTTTAAAAGGTGGCATGGTTAGTTGTTGGTGGATATATTAAAATAATATTTATATAAAATAATTAAAGTTGATTTGATGTAAAGTAGGAGAAAAATAATTGGAAGTGGTGATTAGTTAAAAGGGAAAAAATCTTTTTCACCCCATAACAAAGACACATTAAGTTTTCCACACCGTCCAATAAAAAGCTAAGTTTTTCACCCCAGAAAGTGCGAAGGTTATGCGAAAACTGTCGCATATTAATTGCATAACTGTCCATATGCGAAGGTTATGCGAAAAACTGTCGCATAACTGTCGCATATCAATTGCATAACTGTCGCATATTTATCGCACAATGCCTTTGCACAATTATGCAATTGATATGCGACAGTTATGCGACAGTTTTTTCGCATATTCTTCACATATGGACAGTTATGCGATGAATATGCGACAGTTTTCACATAACCTTCGCACTTTCTGGGGTGAAAAACTTAGCTTTTTATTGGCCGGTGTGAAAAACTTATCAAGACTTCAAAACGGGGTGAAAATATATATTTTCACTAGTTAAAATTATGTGAGTAGATGAATAGTGAATTAAAGTTGATGTGATGTGTAAGATTGATTGGTTGATATTATTTAATTATATTGATAATATCGAAGATAGTGGAGTTGAATTAAAATTAAGTTAAATTTGAGTTTTGATTGATTTTTAACGTTCAAACTTGGGGTGAGCGTGGGTCGGTACGGTTCGGAGATTGATAAATCTCCAGAACCGTACCAAACTTCGGAGATCCCAAAATTCGATCTCCAAAATCTTACCAAAAAGTCGGTTCGGTTCGGTTTGGATATTTTTATTTTTCGGTTCGGTTCGGTTCGGTTCGGTATTCGGGACTATTGGGACGGTGCGGTTCGGTATGGTTTGGTTCGGATCTTCGGAGATTTTTTATTTTTTTAAATTATTTTTGAATAACTACCTAGTTATATTTTAATTTTTATATGCTTTAAAAAAACAACATTCATCAATAATTCATCATATTGAAAATTTTATTTTGAAATCAATTCTATAAGTAACTTTAAATTTCAGTTACTGAATTTTTGTATGCTTTAATAAAATCAACATTCATGAGTAATTCCTCACATTAAAGATTGTATTTTGAAATCAACTTTATAAGTAACTCTAAATTTTAGTTATAACTAAATTTGTGCAACTAATATTGAAAATTTAAAATTCAAATCAAATATAAATTTTTTTTTCTTAAAAAAATATTCTTTAAACTTTTATATTTTAAATAATTATTTTATAATAGAAAAAATCAATTGTAGATTGAGTATTACTATGCATGAAATTTAAGTGAAAATTAATATTTATTACTATATTATATAGAATCAAAGCCGACATAAAATATATTAATAACACATCTAATGTTATAATTCGGTTCTTAATTTCGGTTATTCGGTTCGGTACAGTACGAGACGGTTCGGTTCGGTTCTCGGTACGGATATTTGTGAAATCTCCAGAATCGTACCAATTATTTTTTTCGGTTCGGTTCGGTTCGGAGAAAGTCAAACGGTCAACAGTTATTTTTCGGTTCAGAGTGATTTCGGTTCGGTTTTCGAAACGATTTGAAATTCTCCGAGTCCCATGCTCAGCCCTAATTCAAACTATGTCCAATCGCCCCTAAAACACTCCAACCAACTAGAGTGGACTTTAAACCTTTCGTAACATTTTTATATATAATCAATAAAAGTACAATTATGCAATCATATTTTTCAATATATAATTGTACATATTTTCATATATAATCAATAAAATTACAATTATGCAATCATATTTTTCAATATATAATTATATATACGCACATTTTGATGAAATATTACACTTCACCAAAATTATTATAAACAAAATATAAAAAATCAATACTTACGAAAATTTTATGGTCTCGTTACGGAATCTGTCGGGGTTGTAATATTTGAATCAACATGTAACTGTCAGAGATAATTGATCTAGCAATTACAAATCAGGACAGAATAATTTCGTAACGAGACCGTAACATCTCCCCAATACATATACGTGCAATTTGATGAAATATTATACAATAAATTTTTTTTCCCAAAACTACTCCAAAGACTATCTAAAAATCAAACCATTTCAAGACACTTCCAAAATAATAATTTAACACGATCCAAAATAAAAAGATCTAAGCTTTAGGTAAGATGGCAGATCAATTCACGGTCCAGAAATGGCCTCCGCGTCATTAATGGCGGACACACTTGGCAACTGCCCATTGTGTTCTCAGAAAAAAAAAAAAAAAAGGCCCGTGAACTCAGCCGCGTACGCCTCATCTTTCCTCCATTGGACTTGGGCATGTGACTCGGACACTGACCCGCAAGTAGCCTTCATCTGTATTTTAGGGCCAAAATACGGCAAAATTCAAAGGATGAACAAATTACAGCGGCTACAATAATTGTTAGCACCGAGTTAAAATTCAAGAATCACCGATGAAAAAGAAAGGGTGGTAATAAATATCAAGAATCGGGCCCCACGGGCCACGATCAAGAAAATAACTATGGAAAGAAAGAGATATTAGCATCGTTAATGGCTGTTTTTCAACATACGGTTTGATTCTTGGGCGTACGTGAGTTGTCTCTACCTTTCTTGGACTGTCCGAAGATTTTTCTTTTATTTATATCGGCCCCAAAGGTCCTCTCTATTTTATTTATTCATTTTGTATTAATTAATCATTTTGTATTTAAGGGGTCTTGCTCACACCCCGGTCCTCGTCTCTTGATAAGTGAAGCTACGGTGTAGTGAGCTTCGCTTGCTTCAGATAAAAGGGGTGGAGCCACCACCGGAGATCTGGCCGGAGCTATTCTTTTCCGGTGAGTGCTTGGTCTATCTGGGCCCTGTTAATTTTTGTCTGTTTCTAATTCGTTCGTGAGTTTTTGTGCTGTATTGGTTTCTTGGGGTGCGTTGTTTCTTGATCCGATTTCAATGGGTGGTGAAATGATTGTGGCCAGTGGGGTTTATGTGAAGTCTCCTTTATTTTAATCTGTTTTGATGTAATCGTGCGTTGTTGACTCAAAATTGGTCGGTCTTTGTTGCTTGCTTGCTTATTTCTTTGCAGGGCGTTAAAGCGTTTTTGAGTCTTGAGCAAGAAAAAGCAGAGGGTACAATACATTACCTTGTATTCTTGGATCCAAATCAGATCAGCCTCTGCAGGAATTTCTTTTTTGAAGAAAGAGATTCCAATTTTCACTTCTTTCTGCAAAACTTTTTTGTTGATTGTTTTTTATCCATTTTGTTGAAAAATGGTATTAAAAGTGGCACCAGCTCCATTACATTGGTCACAGCCTTCAGTACCCCACTCTTCATCTTCTTCCCAGACATTAGCCTCATCCATTTCATCCCCTTCCTCAAAACGACGCAGTTTTTCTTTTTCAAGTGGTGATTCGGGGGCCCTCTTTTGCCGTTATGTCGACAAGTCCGCCTTGTTCCCCAGCGCCCACCGATCACCAAAACTCTACTCTCTATCTCATCGAAACAGGAATTCCCGGGCTCGAATTATCAGACGGGCTTGGTCTTCCAGTATGGACTCGTTTTCTGACGAAGAATTTTGCAGAAAGATTCAATCTTTGGCCTCGAGATTTCAAATGGGCCATGACGAACACGATTCGGACGATTACAGTTCGGACGGGAGCTCGATAACTAACAACGATCGTTTTGAGCTACGCTCGGAGAATGGGGGTGAAGCCGTTTCTAATACCGGGCCCAAGTTCTTGGCGAAAAATCTGAAAACCCCGTTTGATGATTCTGTGGAGCCTCCTGATGAGATAATCCCAGCTAACATCGAGATGAAGGCGAACAGCTTTGATATTCCCTTATCCCTTAGAATAATAAAACGCAAAAAACAATGGCAGGCTGAGATCACTGAGGCCCGAGACACGGCTTGTTGCTCGGTGAAGAAGGCCTTCTCGTCCATGGTATTCATTATCCGTGAGCTCCACTGCTACACTCTCCAGATGAGGGAGATTCTTTTCTACGAGGATTTACAAGGCATTCTTGCAAATGTTCAGAAAGAGATGCACGCGTCATTTGTGTGGCTGTTCCAGAAAGTGTTCTCCCAAACCCCGACTCTCATGATGTACTTAATGATACTCCTCGCAAACTACAGTGTCCACTCCATGTCAGCTCATGCGGCCTTAGCCGCCACCATGCCACATGTACAGACCGAACAAGTCTCCTCGGCCGGAGATCATGATGACAGTTCCTCTAAGCAAAAATTCGACTCGTCTATTATCAAGAATTTGAGGATTTCCCCTTCGTCTAGTAGTAACGGAAAAACGGCTTCGGTCGGCGGGAATAATGGTGGTCGTGGTAAATATAGGCCGGTGGGTAGTGATATGGATGGTGAAGGGAGGTTTGATGAGTTTAATTATGGTGGGGTGACCTCATTTTCGACAGATAATCCTTCGAGTATGTCTGGACGGGCCTCGGCCGAGGAGGAGGAAGCACTTTGGGGCTCGATTGTGGATGAGGCCTTGCGAATGCAAGCCGGGTCAAAGGAAGAGGCCTTGGATCGGGAGACTATGCTGCAGTTTGTTGCGCCAGTGAATGCGAGAATCGAGACGGACGATCAAATGGAGTATCTGAAGACGGACATGTTTTACCAGACGGAATTGGCTCGAGAGCCGGAGAATGTCCTTTTGCTGGTGAATTACGCGCAGTTTCTTTACCTTGTTGCTCTGGATTTTGACAGGTACTGATTTTATTTTATTTTATTTTTTTACTTTTTTTAGTTTTTTTTTTATAATTTATGTTTAGATATTGTTATATCTCGTTCTTTCGAAAATTTGGAGTGCCTAACTGATAGCTGTTTCGGGCGAAAGCGAATATGCCGTTTCTGGCGAATTAGATTTCTTATTTCAGATATGGCATTGGAAGTTCCACTGATTGGTGGTGAGTGGTGTGCTTTAACTGGGGGTCTAACTTTGAGAATATTGGTTCATTTATCTGAGTGAAAAAAATGTGTTTTTAGTGGCAAATGATATTATGGTATTATGATAGCACAATGTGTGATGCTGCTTTAGAGGCAAATGATAAGACCAGTGAACCAAACTATATATATCTTGAGTGCCCTCAGTTGAAATATCATCAATATTCCTTTGGCAATTTCCCAAAAGTCTGAACTTGGCTTTTGTCCTCACTTTAGTTTGAACAGTCAATATTACCTAACCTCGTCTCGACTTTGCTAAAATTTAGGACCAAGCCAAAAGGGGTCGGGCAGAGTGGGTCGCGCTCGGACCCTCCTTCGTACCCACCTCTCCACTGTGCTGTCTTCCATTTCTTTTTCAGGAAATACATTAGAAAAATAACTTCGATTTATTTATTTATTTATATGTCTGTTTTTAAGTTACAAAATAATGATGAACTTATTTCTATAGCGGTGTTTTTGGTTGAAACAGAGCCGAGGAGTACTTTAAGAGGGCTACTAAAGTCGAGCCTAAGGATGCCGAGGCATTGAACAAGTACGCAAACTTCTTGTGGGTTGTGAGGAATGATCTTTGGGCTGCTGAGGAGACGTATTTGGAAGCAATTTCGGCAGAGCCCAATAACGCGTATTACGCATCTAATTACGCCAATTTCCTGTGGAGTACGGGTGGGGAAGATACTTGTTTCCCTTTGAGCTCGCCTGATTCCATTGATGATGTGTAGACCTTATGAAAACTCGAGAGCTGAGAAGGGAGATTTAGAAAGTTGGTGACAGAAGAAAAGAAAAAGAAAAAGAAAAAAAACGACTCACTACCCCGAGGTTTTCACTTAATTACTACAAGGCTCGGTAGGTTATCTTTTCAAAAATTGCAAGTGAGCCCCTGACGTTGACGCGGACGAGGGGGATGTTTGCAAAGGCAAAGTTACAAACTGCAGGGTGTTTGTAATTTTGAAAAGAGAAGTGGGTGTCTTTTGTAATTAGACCAACTCTTGAGGATGTAGTGTCTTGTAATATTCCCATCAAGAAAAAGGAAAAGTTGAAGCCACCCTCTGGGAAAAAAAATTATCTTGTTGATCAAGATTTTTGTGAAAATATCTTTGCTCATGATCAATACCCAGAAAAAGAAGTGGTCAGAGGAGGAGTTTCCCTCTCAAGATTGCTAGGTGGAGTTTTTCATTTGTTTCTTACAAGTAGATATTTATTTTTTCCCTTCATTTGAAAGAAAATAATCATGAATAATAATAATACAGTTTTGATTTCTCTCCTTTTTTTTTTTTGGGGTACAATATGAGGAATA